ACGGCCAACCCAGGTTCTATTCCCAGCATCCAATGTGGTGCCCTGAGCACCTCCAGGAGTAATTCCTGAGCGCATGAGCAGGAGTAACCCCTGTTGCTGGGTGTGATGCAAAAAAAAAAGTCAGAAAGGGGACCGGAGCGATAGCACAGCAGGTAGGGCACTTGCTTTGCATGTGAACAATCCAGGTTTAATCCCCGGCATCCCGTGTAGTCCCCAAGCACCGCCAGAAGTAATTCCTGAGTCTAGAGCCAGGAGTGACCCCTGAGCATCCGCAGGAGAGGTCCCCGAAGCAAAAAGAGTGAAGCAAAATAAGCCACAGAGATAGAAAGGTAGGTAGGGCACCAGTATTGGATGCTGCCACCACCCCCGACTTTTACCCCAGCACCTCATAAAATTCCCCAAGCAAGGCCAGGAATAGCCCCTGAGCACTTTTGTGTATGACCCAATCCTGTTCCAAAAGAAAATTTAAAATAAGGAATTAGGGGACAGTGCAATAGTATAAGGGGTTGGGCACTTGCCTTTCACGTGGTCGACATGGGTTTGATCCCTGACATCTATGCAGTTACCCCTGAGCATCACTGGTGTGGCCCAAAAACAAACAAAAAATCCCTAGAATCAAAAGGCCAGTGTTAAGTTATATATTATGATCAAGCAGTTACAATTTTCAGTGGTGAAGTGAAACTGTAGCTTAAGGAAGCAAAACTTTCTGAGGGCTTCCTCCCAGGAGCCCGGCGTATCTCACCACAAGAAAAACAATCAGTGCAATGTCCAAAACCCAGGCTTGCCTCACATGTGACCTTATAAAGCGCTTGAGAGGGGCCAGAGTGAGCAACAGTACAGCAGCTCAGTTGCTTACCTTGCATGCACCCAAGCCAAGTTCGATCCCCAGCACCCATATGACCCCCCAACCCTTGCCAGGAGTGATCCTGGAGTGCAGAGTCAGGAAATAAACCCTGAGCACTAGCTGGGTGTAACCCCCTCCCTCCCCCCAAAAAAAACACTTGGCAAAATTTAACATGTTCATGATGAAACAATGCAGACAACAAAATCTCCCAGACACAACAGAGGACCCTTATGAAACTCGATGACAAAAGACCAAAGAGGTTTTTCCTCAGAGTCACACCAGAACAAAACCTGTTTTCATTGCTGCTACTCAATACTCCCTGGATTGCAAGTTTTAGCCAGAGCAATTAGGCAAGAAAAAAGAAATGAAAAAGACATTCCAAATCAAAACGAAGTAAAAAGCTCTCTATTCACAGTTGATAGCATCATATAGATAAAGATTTCCAAAGAACATACTTGCCAAAAGACCAATAAATGAATCTGGCTAAGCTCCAGGCTCAATAAACAAAGATGGGTTGTTTGCCTCTACACCAACTTCCAAAAAGAAAATTAGGAGAACCTGGAGGTCCCCAACAGCCTCAGAACTGCAGAGGGGTGTTTAGAGATGCCTCATAGTTCTCTGAAGCAGAAATATATTGTCACTGATGGTCCCCGTGGTCAACCACGGTCCAGCCCCTCTGATTTTTTATTCGGTGCCTGAGTCCCTCTCATATTAAACTTACACGAACCCAGGGCCAGAGAGATAGTACAGTGGGTAGAGCACTTGCTGCGCATGTGGCTGATCCAGATTCAATCCCTGGCATTCCATATGGTCCCCAGAGTCCCCCCAGGAGTGATCCCTGAGTTCAGAGCCAGAAGCAAGTCCCAAGCACCACGGGGTGTGACCCAAAAACAAACCAACAAAACAAAAACAAACAACATAAATACATAAAAGTATGAGAAGCAAGAGCCACAGAGATAGGACAGCAGGTAGGATGCTTGCCTCGCATGCAGCCAGCCCAGGTTCAAGCCCCTGAACCCCAGCAGAAGTGACTCCTGAGCACAGAGCCAGGAGGAAGTCCTGAGCACAACCGGGTGTGGCCCCCAAACTAAAACAATAAATAAATAAAATGCCATAGAACAAACAGGTCCGAGGAGGCCGGCTGCTTCGGGAGCCAGAGGCCCACACACCAGGGCAGATCCCAGCCACCAGGGCCTCAGCACCCGCCTCCTCCCACGTCTCAAGGAAGCCGGACGACGAGAGCACAGGCCCTCAGAGGAAACCGGGCCTGAGTCAGCCCAGGAAACTACGAACTGGGGAGGGTGTTTTCCCTTGAAGACGTGGTGGGGTTTTTTTCAAGTTGAAGAAGGAACTCGAAGTGTTTTTAATTATTGTTTTTGCGACAAGGGGCCAGAAAGATGGAGTGTTTGCCAAGTGTTGCCACATTTCTCAGTTCTCCACGTCCAGACAGTCTCAGAGCCCGGAGTGGGTCGCCCCCGGCCCCAGACAGTGCTCCTGACCTCTCCTTCCTTTCCTCTCTCTGGCCAATGGCTCAGTAACATCTGCCAAGGCCTGTTGGCACCAAGGAGAGAGATGCAGTGGGCGAGGAGGTGACTTGTGGGAAGGGTCTGGGAGCCGGGAGACCCCAGTTCTAGGCTGGCTTCCGCAGCTCCAGCTGTGCGGCTGGCCTCTCCTCCCCAGCTGGCCAAAGTGGACTCCGTAAGAGGGAGGAGGCCGAGGCAGAAGCTGGGAGGGGAAGAAACCCTTTTGATTTTGATGTTCTCTCTTTTTGCCAAAGGCAAAGCCCTCAAGAATTCAAAAGAACTTTATAGGAGGGAAGTGACATTGCTGAAAGATGAAAAACAGCGACATTTTCAAAGATGGTCAAGAATATTTTTTCCTGCGGGCGTCCACTCTTTACTGGATCAGGTGGACTCAAGAGGGGGGCCCAGCTTTGGCCAGGGAAGATAAACAGTGCTTTTTTTTTTTTTGGTTTGGTATTCTTTTGGGGACACACCCGGCGGTGCTCATGGGTTTCTCTTGGCTCTGCATACAGGAATCGGGAATTACTCCTGGCAGTGCTTGGGGATGGGATGCCAGGGATGGAACCTGGGTCAGCTGCATGCAAGGCAAATGTGCTCTCTGCTGTACTATGACCAGTTCTTGCTTTCCACTCTCCCTCTTGGAGATATCCCAAAAGCCCCACCAGCAATCAAGTCAATATTAGAGACCATGTTTTCAGAAGGAAACAAGCATGAGGCAAATCAAATGAGTCTAAAGAATGAGTAGGTGAGGGCCAGGGCCTGAAGCACGGGCCTTGCACGTGGGAAGCCAAGGCTCCATCCCCGACACCACAGAGCCTCAGCGCAATGCTAGGGAGTGGCCTGCACCTTCTGAGCACCAAGTGAGGAGCCCCAACACTGCCATCAGACATGTCCAAACAAACAGAAAGAAAATAAAAGTGAATACATGAGTTACTGGGACTTGGATTTCCACCCACCCACCCCCAATCTTATGAATTCAACATATATATATACAGATATATATATATATCTGTAGATACAGATATATATATATATATGTCACTGTCCTCCTGTTGTTCATCGATTAGTTCGAGCGGGTCCAGTAACGTCTCCATTTTGAGACTTGTTGTTACTGTGTTTGGCATATTGAATACGACAGGTAGCTTGCCAGGCTTTGCCGTGTGGGCTATATATATATATATATATATATATATATATATATATTGCCTACCAGATTCGGGGGATTTGGCAGGGGGTTGCCTGGTGGAAGGAGAATTAAGGCACAATTAGCCGGAGAGTCTAAAACATCCCTGCCCCAGGGAGTTAGGGGACTTTCTGGAGTTCAGAGTCAGTCAGCCCCTCTGCACAGGGAGGTCCAGGAAGGGTTTTCCCAGAAGCTGGAGCATCCCCATTTTCCTGGCGATACCTAACGTCCCCATCCCCCTCACCCCAGACACGACCTGCATGGAACCTGAGACGCCGGTAAGACAGCGGAACAGGTAGTCAGCGGGAATTCGAGAGGTGAGCGAGAACTCTGCGGGACTCGCAAACTTCCTCCCACTGTCTACCATCCCAGTTCAATCCTAAAACACACCAACCGAAATCCACAGCTGAATTTTTAAAAACACGCAGGCACAGATGCCAGCCCCACGAATTGTCCGGCAGGAGTCCGGGGTCGGGGAGGAAGGGTTCTCGGTTCGGTGGTGCCGGGCTCAGAAGCTGGTGGCCCGATCTAGCGGGAGCCAGGCTGCACCGCCCAGGGAAGCCAGGCGAGCCCCGGCTCCGGGAACAAGGCTGCACGCTGTTCGGCACAGGATTTGAACGAGCCAATGGTATCCGAATCACTGGGACAGGAAGCCAGATAAGCACCACGTTATCGAGGGGGGATTCGCGCCTCCCCGAAGCCGGCGCCAGCTGCGCCCCCGGCGGCGCTAACAAAGTCCCGTAGACTTTCCTGCGCGCTGCGCCCCGGACCCCACCCCTGCAGACACACAGACACAGACACACAGACACAGACACAGACACACACCCCGACAGCCCGCACCCTCTCTGCACTCCGCACACGGGACTGGTTTTAAAACGGGGTGACCGGTTTCCCGCCGCTCTGCGCGGATGGAAGGGGGGACCTGCGCCCCGGCGGCCGTAGGTGAGCCTCCCGGCCCCTGCCCCGACCTCTCCTTTCCCTTCCCACGGGTTCCTCACACTTTCTCTGGGCGGGCACTTAGGAGGTGGACGATCACTGGGGGGGTCACTTCTCGGCGCATCCTGGCTCCCACCCCGTCCCCACTTTTCTGGACTGGTGGGGTCACCTAGCCAGACGTTCTGTTCACTCCCCAGGGATGAGAGAAGAGTGTTTGTATGAGAAACGGACGAACGGACAAACGGACGGAAGGACGGACGGACGGAGCAGCCCTTGGGGTCTCTGATGGCACTTTCGTCGCAGCTACTTCTCGGGAAAGAACGCCTAGGGTAGGCGCCGGTGGCCCCGGGTGAGCCCGCGCCTGGCTCCGACGCGCGGTCCCCGGGGATCCGTCTGCGCTCACACCTTCCCGGGCCACCGCGGGCTCGGCGCCCCACTCCCCGAACCTGTCCTCGGAACCCCCGCCAGGCCCCCCGGTTCCCCGGCTCCCTGGCCCGGCGCGCGTCTCACTCACCGGCTCGGCGGCCCTCCGGGGCTCGGACTCCGCGCCACCGCCGCCGCCGCCGCCGCCGCGCCCAGGGGCGCATCCCCCCAGCTCCCGGCGCCGGGGCCTGGCGAGAAAGAAAAGTTTCCCGGGGCTCGGGGCGCCGCGCTAGGGCCGCCAGCGGCCGCACAATGCGCGGGGAGGCGGCATCGCGGCCCCGGCGGGCGGCGGGGCGGGGCCTCGTGACCCGCGGCCCCCGCACACGCGCCGCCGCCCCGCGCGCGCCCCCGTCCGGCCCGCGCGCCGCCGGGCCCCGCAGAGGGGCGGAGGGTGGGTCCCGTCCAGACGCGGTCACGGCAAAGCTATTCCCGTCCCCCTTTCCTGCTCCGCGCGCGCCCCGCCTCCCCGGCCGCAGAAAGGCGGCAGCCGGGGCCCCGGGCGTCCGGCGCGCCCCGCATCAGGACCCTTGGCACAACCGCGCTCGGCGTCCCGCACCCCCGCAGCCTCCAGCCCACGCCCGGCCTCGGCTGCCGAGAAGTGGGCTCACGGCTCAGCTGCACCCCTCCTTCCGCCCTGCACCCCGACTTAGGGGAGGCCCCCGAAGTGACAGGCCGTCAAATCCGTGACTTATTGCCGCCGTCTGGACTCGCCTCCCCCCAATCACCCCCGCCCCAGCCCGCCCTACCAGCCCGGGCCGAGGGACTGGGGGGTGGGGAAGGAAGAGGGGAGCGGAAATGACAAGATACCCCCCTCCCAAGTGCGAACGGAGCCGGTCCCCAGCCTGAACCCGTGGCCACCTCTTCGCTGTGCGAGGGTTCCACGCCCACCCTTGCCGGCCGGCCTGGGGGCTTCCAAGCTGCGCTGGAAGGAAATGGGGGGTGGGGTGGCGGCGGAAGGGCTGGCCGAGCTCCCTCCTGGAGCCCGAGAAAGCCAGTGGCCGCCTCCAAGGACCTCGCAGTTGGGACCAGACCCCCGCGGCTCGGCCAGCACGGCAGAGGAGTGATTTATCTCCAGGGAGAAGGGTCTGAGGGGGGAGAAACAAAAATGAAAAAGCCTGCGCCCAGGCGGGCTCTAAGCTCAACGCTTCAGGAGCCAACTCAGGCGAACCGCCCCCAGTCATGTCCACCCACCCCCATGCAACCACCCAGATCCCAAGGACTGTGGACACAAGGGACACGACACAAAGAGACGCTGCTAAGTGGACTAGCAGAGGCGCTGAAAAGTGATCAACTGACCAGGGGGAGGATTTTGATGCTTTTTTTTTGTCAGTGGTTTTGTTTTGTTTTGCCTTGCATTTTGTTTTTGGGTCACCTCCTAGGAAGCTCAGGGGTTACTCCTGGATCTACACTCAATAATTAACTCTTGGTAGGGCTCAGGGACCATATGGAATGTGTAGTAGAAAATGGGTTTGCCGTGTGCAAAGCAAGCACCCTACCTGGTGTACTGTGCCTCTGTCCTCTTGATGCTATATTTGCCTTTGAAGGGAGCCAACTGTGTGTTTGGGGAGGGCAGGAAGGGGGGAGAGGTTTTTTCCTTTGGGGTGGAGGCATGCCCAGTGGTGTTCGGGGTTTACTCCTGGATCTGTGCTCAGGGGTCACTCCTGGTTGTGCTCAGGGAACAGGGAACACATATGCTATGCAGGGCCAAGGATGGGAGCAGCATCTGTTTTGTGCAAGGCAAGAACCCTACCCCCTGGGCTACCTCTTGGGCTCCAGTGAGGTAGCAGAGTGCTTGGGTTCTAATCCTGACTCCACCACTTCCCAGACATGAGTGCACTGACCATCTCTTCCCCTCACTCATCAGCATGTACCTGAGAGTCAATCAGCTCACGCAGGCAGAACTCCCAGGATAGTGCTGGTGGGAGTCCCTTGTTCTTTTTGGGTCACACCCAGTGATGCAGCGATTCACAGGGGTTACTCCTGGCTCATGCACTCAGGAATCACTCCTGGAGGTGCTCGGGGGATTATATGGGATGCGGGGAATCGAACCCGGATCAGCAGCTTGCAAGGCAAACGCCCTACCCGCTGTGCTATGGCTCCAGCCCCGGGACTCCCTTGTCCTTATAGCTTAGTCCTGCTGCTGGTCTGGCCTCAGTCATGCTCACTGGACCCCTGCTGGCGTGGCCTGCAGCCCTGTGCTCGGTGGACTCCTGCTCTTCCTTCCTTAAGCCTGAGAAAGGGAGCCAGACCCTTTTTTGAGGAAGCAACATACTTTCTCGAAACCCGCTTTTCCAGAGTGGCTTGACTGAACCTTCCCGAGGTCCAGGAACAAGGGTCTCAGTGTTAGCAGGCAAACAGCAGGTGGGCTCGAGACAGAGCTGCCCTCAGACTCAGCAGGAGGTAAGCTTGCTCTCATGCACACTGGTTATGTGGGGGTGATGACATACTTTTAGAGGCCACACCTGACAGTGTAATGGGTTGGGGTACATTGCTACCAGAGGTGCTCAAGGGACTGTGAGGTGCTGACCATCAAATCCCGAGCCTCACACATGCAAAGCTGGTATGTGTTTTACCCCTGGGCCATGTTCTCGGCCCTGATGTCATTGTCGGATGCACCCAGAATAGGGGAAAGATCCAAAGGCATGTCTTTGCAGGGGTTAAATCTGTTCCATCAGTGCACAGGACTGGGAGTGTCCACTGGGGAGGGTGCCCCCACCAGTCCTCCTGCTCCCTGGGGCCAGAGACATAGTATAGCGGGGAGGGCACTTTGCCATGCGGGATGCTTACCCAGGTTCAACCCCCGGGCACCCCTAAGCACTGCTAGGAGTGATTCCTGAGTGCAGAACCAGGGGTAATCCCTCAGCAAAGCCTAGTGTGGCCCCAAAACCCAACTTTCCCCCATGCCAAAAAAGATGTCCTCCTCCTCCTCCTATACCCCACTCAACAGCGTGGTCAGTGAGAGGCTGTGGAAGTCCCCCTAACAGCAGGGATAGCATGGGGGCAGGGAATTACCGGGTCAGTCTGGAGCATGTGAAATACCGGAATGAGAAGGCGGCTAGGTCAGAGCCACAGACCATAGACAGAAGTGGTGGTGGTGGGGGGAGCAGGGGGCCACCCAGCCCAAAGGAGCCCCATTGCTGCTGACTTTGGGGGTGCTTTTCCTCTGAGCTCAGTGATGACTCCATTGCGCTGAATCAAGCAAATGGATTTTCCTTAAATATGAAAAATCAATAAGCAACAAAGGCAAGAGCCTGGCTTGGGGGTGGAGGGGGCGATGAGTCAGAGGGCTCTGGGTGGGAGGTGGGTGGGGATGCTGGAAGGACTGAGATGTCGGCTCACTGTGGCAGGACTCTGAGGGCCCCCATGGCTGTGTCCCCCCGCACCCCACCACTCACCAAGACGGCCACCTCCAGCTGTTGCTGACCTCCTGAGGTCAGCTCCCCTCCATGGTGCTCTATCCCTGCCCCCCACTCCTGCACACAGTTCAGAGCTGCTCAGAGCTGATTCTGCCCTAGCCAGAGGACTAACTCCTTAGGAGGATTAATGTCTATGTGACAGGCAGGTCTTAACAATCAGCTCAATGCCTGTTGGCACCCCCAGAGAGTCTCAGCACCTGGCTCAGGAGGAGACTTTGGGGAACCCTAGGAAGTGTAGTGACAGTCTACCCCTGCCTGATCCCTAATTCCTTTGTGTCCCCCCACACCCCTGCTCATATTCTTTTTTTTTTTCGCTTTTTGGGTCACACCCAGCGATGTACAGGGGTTACTCCTGGCTCTGCACGCAGCAATTACTCCTGGCAGTGCTCGGGGGACCATATGGGATGCTGGGAATCGAATCCAGGTAGGCCACGTGCAAGGCAAACGCCCTACCCACTGTGCTATTGCTCCAGCCCCCCCCCCCCTCCGCTCCGCTCATATTCTTGCCACCTGGAGTTCTGGGGAGCACCCACTAATTTGCCCCTCTCAGTCAGGACTTGGGGATTTGAAGTCAGGATTCCTACATTTCCCACCTGGCTGAGGAAAGCAGGTCTGTCTCTGGCTGCCTATCAAGGGCTTCCAGAAAGGCCCTTGGCTGAACTGGAGGCTGGGCCACTGCTTTCTTTCCTTGGGCACTTAGTAAATGACATTAGGGACTTCGAGGTGGAGCCCCGGCAACGCCTCCTCCCTCCTTCGAGCCCAGTGGAAAAACACCGGGCACCACATCAGAGAAACCCAGGCCAGGCTGGGTGCAGCCCTCAGTTTGCTGATCGGTGAAAGGGGGGTGAGGACTCTAGGGAACCGAGGCTCAGGTGCATGCACAGGGCCATCCTGGAAGAGGAAGTGATGAGGTCATGCAAATGTAAGCAGGGACGCAATTCCCCCCAGAAAGCCTCTGCCTGCTGGCTGGCTCCACCCAACGCTTCCGTCTCTGGCTTCACTCTTAGAGGGCTGAACACCCAGAAGGAGAAATCCTGGTCCTCTCTGGCTGGTCTCAGCAATCAGAGAGGGACTTCACGCCCCAAGACAGAACCACAGTCCCCAGCCTGCTGGCTTGGGCCTGGCCACCGCGGCCACTTTAAGAAGGTCCCTCGGGTTGCACCAGAGGACCTGAGAGAAACAGTCCTCCGGGAACAGCTGGCACAGCAGTGAATGTTTTACGAGAGCGCGCGAGTCAGCGCCTTATCGGGAAGATGCTCATTCTCCCTTACCAGGAAGCCAGATGCAAGGCGTCAGTGTTTTTCCAAAGATGGTTTTCCAGGAGAGGTGTTTCTCTGAGGGCGGGCGGGGTGGGTGGGGCGGGGTGGACAGGGCCCAGCGGCCCCTTTAAGAAGCCCTGCCTGCTTGAGACCAGTCTTGGAGATGTTACTCACCGCAGCAAAGTGCCAGCTCTTCTGGGCATTTAACATCTTTAACCCTTTCGATCCAGTGATACCTTATGAACCAGGTGTTTTTGTCGGTTTGGTTTTTTGGGTTTTGGTTTTGGGGCCACACCCACCAATGATCAAAGCTTACTCCTGGCTGTGCCCTCAGGAGTGCTTAGGTGCTTAGGGGACCATATGGGATGCTGGGGATCAAACCTGGGTCGTCCTCACAAGGCAAACACCCTACCCATTGTACTATCCTTCCACCTTCCACCACCCCGCCCCCAAGTTTTATTTTTGTTTCTGTTTTACAGAGGAAGACAACAGGGG